AGAGAGAGGGAGAGAGAGAGGGAGAGAGAGAGGGAGAGGGAGAGAGAGAGAAAGTGGAGCACCACACACAGAGAGAGAGAGGGAGAGAGAGAGAGAGAGAGGGAGAGAGGGAGAGAGAGAGACAGAGAGAAAGTGGAGCACCACACAGAGAGAGGGAGGGAGAGTTAAAGGGAGGTTTTGGTGTCTCAGCATCCTGCTCATCTTCCCATGACATCATCAGTCATTCACAAATCTGTGACGCACCTGAAATATATTGAAGGAATGAAGAAGAGGTCAAAGTGAATAAATGCAGATGTTTTTTTCATAATTTCCCAAAGTGTTGATTTTCTCTGAATTCTGACTTTTTTCTCAGAATTCCAACTTTTTTTTTTTCTCCTTAAAATAACAAAAAAAAAGTCAGGATTCTTTCTACGAATTCCAACAACAAAGCCAACGTTTTTTTTAAATACCGATTTTTCATCTCAAAAATGTTCTCAAAGAATTCCAACTTTTTCTCAAAAAATTCCATATTTTTTTCTCAAAGTTTCAACTTTTCAAAAAATAATTCACTTTTGGTCAGACCTTGAAGAATAAAAAAATAAAATCATATGTTCTGCTGCTCTCCCGTAGAAAACAATTAGTATTTAGTAGGGGGCGAGCTCGTTAAAGGGATGTTTTTGGTGTCTCAGCTTCATCATCAGTGATTCATAAATCTGTGACGCACCTGAAATAAACCACAGGAATGAAGACGAGGTGAAATCATTCGCTTTGCTGAAAGTGAAGAAATGCAGATGATTTTTTTCATATAGAAGAACATGTCTCTAATCTGTCTCTAATCTCAGAATTACAACTTTCTTCCCAGAATTCACGTTTTTTCTTCTCAGAATACCAACTTTTTTGCTCTGACTTGATTGCGTCTCCATGAGATGGTAGCAGTCCATATTCTCTGCTCAGAACAATGAGGTGAGACTGATGATGAAAAAACAGCCGAAATTATATCAAATCTTTGGGACGTTATTTGCAAATATCATAAAAACTAATGGAATCATATCCTGTGATCCATATGAGAGGATGTGACATGCCCCTCTCATGAAATCTGTTTCTTTTATAGGAACAAACTCAGACAATTTCATAAATGCGCTCTGTAGGAAAAAGGGGAATTTCTAAAATAATGGCATATATTAAAGCAGGGGTGTCAAACTCAATTTCATAACGGGCCACATTCACATTATGGTTGAACTCAAAGGGCCGGTTGTAACTTTAAGACTATATAAAAATACATATATAAATATTTAATATATATAAAATAATGCATTATATTACATTATTGCCTCTGCATTGGATTATTATCGGATAGGGTAATAACTTCATAATTAACTCGGTCTGAAAGCAGAAGTCTAGGGCTAATAATTGCAAGTCTCTTTAGTGAGAATGTCACAAAATGATTTTAAAAGAAAAGCACAATTAAAAAAGAAAAAAAGGTGACATTGAGAAAAAAAAGTAACATTTGGAAAAAAAAGTCAATTCTAAGAAATAAGTCAAATTTAGAAGAAAAAAAGTCAAATCTGAGAAAAAAGTCAAATTTGAGATGCATTGTGCTCCATGCTTCTGTAAATCGCCATGTAACCGTATAACAAACATATATTCTTTGCAAACTCTTGTGGGGCCACAGAAAATGAAGCCGCGGGCCGGATTTGGCCCCCGGGCCTTGAGTTTGACACCCCTGTATTAAAGTATCAATGTCTTTTACTTTGCTTCTAAAAAAAGAAAAGGATTGTCGATCATTACATTGAAAACAGAGACAGTTAAATGAGCCACAAATGTACATTTTCAAAGATGAACTGATTCATTATTATTCATTCAGCTATAACTCAATATTAAACAAGCTAATTATAATATTTATAAACATATCTATTAGGATAAATTGAAGTGAGATCACATTTTGCACAAATATCAATGTCAACTGCAACTTTGGAAGACATACAACAGCAAGGCCTCAATTGCAGTCACTGTATGGGTTGATGTCGGAGATTTCCTTTCACATTTGGGAAACACGTTTTCAAAAGGTTTTCCCAGAATTCACTTTTTTTCTTGAGTGGTAATTTTGTGTCAGACTTCCGAATGTCTCCGCAGAATTCAGATTTTCTTTTTCTCAGAGTTCGCATTGTTTTCCAAGAATTCCAACTTTTTTTCCCCGTAGGAATATCCAGAAAACAATGAAGTCAGGAATCTTCTTTCTACGAATTCCAAGATCAAAGACAGAATTCAGACTTTTCTCAGAATTCAGACTTTTTTCTCAAACGGGGTTCCTGCAGGTTTCACCAACTCAAATGTAAGACTTTTTAAGACCTCTTTGAATAGAATTTAAGACCTATTTCACGGCAAGAAAGTATGAAGGTAAATTGCTATGAAAGAAGAAATACTTCCCATGATTACTTACAAAGTAAATGTATTCATGTTCAACATAAGAACGATGGCTGATCACCAGCAGCTCGTCTGGTCTTCAACCTTCCAACATGTTCCCACACCACGCCGCTCCTCCGCTCCCTTCACTGGCTTCCAGTAACTGCTAGAATCCACTTCAAGACACTGATACTTGCGTACCATGCTGCGAATGGATCTGGCCCTTCCTACATCCAGGACATGGTTCAACCATACACCCCAGCAAGGGTGTAACTTTGGTTTGAGAAGTGGGGGGGGACACCAAACAGGGGGTCCTCCGCAATGAAACATTTTCTCAATTTAATTCCATTTCCTGCCTTTCTACAAATATATTAGGGACTTTAGTGCAAATACATACAACTAATATTACATAGATGGAGATATTTGTTTACATAGATGACCAAACCGTTTGAGACCCACTGAGATAACTTAGACTAAAGTTTACAATCTAACCACTCAGTCCTTTACCTCCCTGAGCTGACGTTATCTCTCTCAGTCCCACAGGAGAGAGCTCTCCCTCTCCTTATTGTTGAAACAGCTACTAATCTCCGTTAGCTCCCAGCTAGCACCAAATGCTAACAACAACCCCCGTCTCTCTCTTTCTGTCTCTCACAAGATGCGCTCGTGCCACACACACTGACGCTCCTCGGTGATGATGACCGCTTGCGTAACAAAAAAATAACACATTTAAAAAGTGGGGGACAGAAATGGGATTTTGAAAAGTGGGGGTGACATGTCCCCCCATGCCGTGTCCCCAGTGGAAATTACGCCCATGCACCCCAGCACGTGCACTCCGCATCGGCCAAACGGCTCGCTGCACCCGCACTGCGAGGGGGACCCAAGTTCCCATCAGCAGAACGTGGGTTTGATATCCTGGCTCCAAAATGGTGGAATGAGCTCCCCATTGACATCAGAAAGCTTACACATCTTCCGGCGAAGACTGAAAACTCATCTCTTTCGACTCCACTACGAGCGATAGAATTGATAACAAAGCACTTACTAACAAAGGACTGGCTTATCTAAAGCCAGTTGAGTAGCACTTCAAATGTTTTGGCTCTATGCAACCTGATGTACTTATATGATTCTGTTTTCTTCAAGTTTTTATCTTCCTGGTCGAATGCACTTATTGTTCAGGAATCCTGAAGTCAAACGTAATACCTTTTAAGACCTCATCGTAGGGCTGTGCGATTATGGCAAAAATCATAATCACGATTATTTGGGTAAATAGATATAAAACAAACAATAATTTGAACAGTATCTTTTTAACTGTTGATTACCCTGAACGTATAATTCAACTGAAAAACCAATACAAAAATAAATGATACATTTAAATAAATATTATCAAAATAAATAACAAATATTTTGGAGCGCACTTCCACAAGCTACTAAACATATATAAATATGATAAATACAAATAAATGAGACTAAAATTAATTAGATCAAATATGCAGTGCACTGTCACAACCTAGCAAAAGCTAAATAATAGTTGTTTTCGTAATTGTGGCAGGCCAAAATCGTAATTGCGATTAATTGCACAGCCCTACCTCATCGCCACTTGGAGTTTTAACCGGTTACCTTGGCGACACACTTTACCTCACATTGACTATATACAGTATGGATTGTCCTTCCTCCTTATCTTCCAACCATTTGGACGCAGACTTGCATTTCCCCATAACGATGTTGTTTAACAACCGGCGTAAACGGGCCTTCGTGCGCTATCAAGCAGCGAGCGTGCGATGTCCTGTTCAGATGACGTCAAATCCAACGGGATGCCATAAATAAACTACACAGAATCACACTACACACCTACGCAATGACTACATTCAGGCACACTGTAGAATACAACCTCTTTGGACAATTTATATACTTATTGAAAACAAGCTACAACATTTAATACCTTGAATGTAATTAAAAACAGGGTTCAAGTCTTTTAATATAAATTAAACTTTATTGATGTTTCCACAACAGCAAACACGACATTAAGACAGGAAATACAAATATGATAAACACAATGAGGGTCAGCGCAAAGCTAACAACGTTATTTACAGACCAATGTATTCACACAGAGAAACCGTACAGGTGTGTGAGGAACAGGGGTGTGGCTACAGGTGTGTCTACAGGTGTGTGAGGAACAGGGGGGGTCTACAGGTGTGTGAGGAACAGGGGTGTGGCTACAGCATACTTGCCAACCTTAAGACCTCAGAAATCGGGAGAAATTAAAAACCACCGTGGGGGGGGGGGGGGGGGTGTTGCTAGTGGATCGCCGGAGCTGTTAGCACCGGAGCCTCGCAGCGGGGAAACTGACTTTTAAAGATGAAAAGAACATCTACACATTCTTGTAGTTGTAAGTGCAATGCCTTGCTGCCTGTAGCACCATCCTTGATGAGGACCAGGAAAGGAGTGAGCAGAGGGTAAAGTTGTCCATTCGTGTTCTGTGACTATCTTCCTCACCATGCTGAACACCCTCTCAGACTTTCAGTTGCGTGCGCTACTTAAGAGACGCGCTACCATGGACACCAAACAACGGTGTAGCTGTATTAAAGTCCTCAGTGCAAACAGTCGTGAGTAAATCTGATTTTGTCAGAAATCGGGAGAAATATGACCCCGGGAGGAAACCGGGAGAGGGCAGTGAAATCGGGAGGGTTGGCAAGTATGGGCTACAGGTGTGTGAGGAACAGGGGTGTGGCTACAGGTGTGTGAGGAACAGGGGTGTGGCTACAGGTGTGTGAGGAACAGGGGGGGCTATAGGTGTGGCTCCAGGTGTATGAGGAACAGGTGTATGAGGAACAGGTGTGTGAGGAACAGGGGTGTGGCTACAGGTGTGTGAGGAACAGGGGTGTGGCTACAGGTGTGTGAGGAACAGGGGTGTGTCTACAGGTCTGTGCGAGGAACAGAGTGTGAGGGGAGTTCTCCTGCAGGGGCGGAGTCTGAGGAGAGTTCACCTGCAGGGGGCGGAGTCTGAGGAGAGTTCAGCTGCAGGGGGCGGAGTCTGAGGAGAGTTCAGCTGCAGGGGGCGGAGTCTGAGGAGAGTTCAGCTGCAGGGGGCGGAGTCTGAGGGGAGTTCACCTGCAGGGGGCGGTGTCTGAGGAGAGTTCAGCTGCAGGGGGCGGAGTCTGAGGAGAGTTCACCTGCAGGGGGCGGTGTCTGAGGAGAGTTCAGCTGCAGGGGGCAGAGTCTGAGGGGAGTTACAGACATTGCTTTAATATACATTTCTGTTTCATATTCAAATTCCAGTTTTTCATGTGCAAAACAAAAAGCATTAGTTTGAACAACGTGTTTTATATCTGAAAGCTCCAAAACAGGATGAGAGAGGACTCTTTACGGAGAGGCTAGCATTAGCAACATGTTAGCATCAGCTGGGATCAGACGAACGCTTCGGTCAGGTTTTGTCACGGCCCCCCCCCCCTGAGAACAACCTGCTGGGGGGGCTACAATTCGTAGCACTTTTGGGGCGACAGGTACTTTGGAAACCGTGTTACAGCGGCAACTTCTAAACTATACCAACTCATTATTTAAAATATAGAGAGCGCCTTTCTCCAACATGTTAAACTGCTGTGACGGCAGGAGATGAGCTCCAGCTGTTTGAGAGACAGCTGCAAGTCCCCGTAGAGAGGACTCTTTAAAGGGGAGGCTAGCATCACGTTAGCATCACATTAGCATCACTAGCATTAGCAACATGTTAGCATCACATTAGCATTACTAGCATTAGCAACATGTTAGCATCACATTAGCATCCCTAGCATTAGCAACATGTTAGCATCACTAGCATCAGCTGGGATCAGACGAACGCTTCGGTCAGGTTTTGTCACGGCCCCCCCCTCTGAGAACAACCTGCTGGGGGGGCTACAATTCGGCCTTTTGTTCACATCATCTCCCTGACACTGAAGATTACCGTTTCTCCTGAACGCAGCACGAGGCGCTGCAGAGATATAACCCTGATGATAAACACTAACTAAGCCCCTCCCCCTGTGACATCACTCACCGTCAGGTGGAGGTCCTCGGCTGCAGGTCGTCTGTTAGAGAGACAGGTTGTTAATAAAGGTTATCACTTTAATGATAGATGTAATAACCTTCAGTACTGAGAGTGAGTGACAGCTGGTCAGAATACGCTTCAGGTGGGTTTTGTCACGGCCCCCCCCCTCTGAGAACAGACTGCTGGGGGGGGGCTTCAATCGGCCTTTCGTTTCATCACTTCCACACAAACACTTTTATTCTGAAAATCAGGACCACTTCCTGTTGGAGCTTACCTTCAACATGATGGGGGGGGGTGACCTGAAACACAATAGACAGATTGTAAGATGTATTGTTCAAGTCTCTCTCATCATGTAGCAGCTGGAGACGAGTCGGTGAGAAACTGAAGTCCTCCTCCAGCAGAGCAGCATGGATATATAAGGACATGAAACTAACAGAAAGAGAACTGCATCGTTGAGGTTACAGATTACCAACTTGAACCCCGTTAGAGTTACACTGAGCTTCAGCTCCTGAGGCACAGCCGCGTCCCCACAGAGGCTTCGTAGCACTTTTTAAAGTAGGGTACTTCTACAGCAGCACTACCTTTACTGTCCTGTACCAGAGTACTTCAACAGTGTGGCTTTACTCATATTACTGAAGTACTTCTACCATGTCATATTAGACCCTTTACTGTCCTTTGCTTCTTAAATAACATTATGAACAGTATAATGATATAAACTATAGAACAATGAGTTCCATGAGATGTGGATATAACAGAAAGCTCAGCACAGGGCGCTGATGTAGAGACCGGAGAGTAATGAGAGCGGCGCTACATCGCGTGGGGCGACAGGTACTTTGGAAACCGTGTTACAGTGGCAACTTCTAAACTATACCAACTCATTATTTAAAATATAGAGAGCGCCTTTCTCCAACATGTTAAACTGCTGTGACGGCAGGAGATGAGCTCCAGCTGTTTGAGAGACAGCTGCAAGTCCCCGTAGAGAGGACTCTTTAAAGGGGAGGCTAGCATCACATTAGCATCAGCATCAGCTTAGCAACATGTTAGCATCACATTAGCATCCCTAGCATTAGCAACATGTTAGCATCACTAGCATCAGCTGGGATCAGACGAACGCCTCGGTCAGGTTTTGTCACGGCCCCCCCCTCTGAGAACAACCTGCTGGGGGGGCTACAATTCGGCCTTTTGTTCACATCATCTCCCTGACACTGAAGATTACCGTTTCTCCTGAACGCAGCACGAGGCGCTGCAGAGATATAACCCTGATGATAAACACTAACTAAGCCCCGCCCCCTGTGACATCACTCACCGTCAGGTGGAGGTCCTCGGCTGCAGGTCGTCTGTTAGAGAGACAGGTTGTTAATAAAGGTTATCACTTTAATGATAGATGTAATAACCTTCAGTACTGAGAGTGAGTGACAGCTGGTCAGAATACGCTTCAGGTGGGTTTTGTCACGGCCCCCCCCCTCTGAGAACAGACTGCTGGGGGGGGGGGCTTCAATCGGCCTTTCGTTTCATCACTTCCACACAAACACTTTTATTCTGAAAATCAGGACCACTTCCTGTTGGAGCTTACCTTCAACATGACCTCAGCTGGAAAGGTTGCAGTCAATGCTCTCTGAAGAACGGAGGGATCCCGAACCTCAGGATCAAATCTCTGTCAGAGTTTTGGAGCTGGAGAGGAAGAAAGGGAAGCTTCCTTTCGACTTCACGCCCCCCTCTGAGGAAACCATGCTGCACAAGGGAAGCAGAAACCTTGCAGGGAAGCCAAGATTTCTAACGGTCTATCACTAATGGTGATCTCTGGGCCCGTAGATCTCGGCCTCCGTTACGGATGGTATAGCTTCGTTATTGGTTTGTTCCGACCTGGAACGTTGCAGCGTGTGTTTGTATGTAATTTGTGCATCTGTCTGTTTTAGTTTGTCTGTCTCCCGTTTTATTTTGAAAAGTGTTCCCCCTCCCGTCTTGTCTGTTGCCCTGTGTCGTCTCCTCCACCCTCACCTGTGTCTTGTTCGTTTGATTAGTCTGTGGGTATTTAGGCTCTGTTTTCCTGTTAGTGTGTGTGTGTGTGTGTGAGTGTGAGTGTGTGTGTCCTTGTTGCTGATGACTGTGTTCACATGAGACAGTCATATTGAGGCTGTGTATCATGTACCACAGCGATGAATAAATGCCCACACCGGGTTGTATTTGAACTCTGCCTCCTTGCTTGGTCGGGCCGCTCAATGGTCAGCTTCACAATTGATCTGAAACACACAATAGACAGAGTACTTCAACAGGGTGGCTTTACTCATATTACTGAAGTACTTGTACCATGTAATATTAGATCCTTTACTGCAGTAAACGCCACTGCTCTGGAGTTCAGACACGCTCACTCAGGAGGAAAAGTACTCTGATCTTTGAGTACAAGTACTCTGATCTTGTTCTTCAGTAAAAGTAGAAGTACTCTGATCTGGTTCTTCAGTAAGAGTACGCCCTTTACCTCTGAGTTGAAGTACATTGCCTCTGAGTTGAAGTACACTACCTCTGAGTTGTAGTACACTGCCTCTGAGTTGAAGTACACTACCTCTGAGTTGAAGTACACTACCTCTGAGTTGAAGTACACTACCTCTGAGTTGAAGTACACTACCTCTGAGTTGTAGTACACTACCTCTGAGTTGTAGTACACTACCTCTGAGTTGTAGTACACTACCTCTGAGTTGTAGTACACTACCTCTGAGTTGAAGTACACTGCCTCTGAGTTGTAGTACACTACCTCTGAGTTGTAGTACACTACCTCTGAGTTGAAGTACATATTATTGATCAGGATTTGATCCAGAGACAATCAGTGATAAAGTATAAAGACCTCAGAACATCAAAGAGCAGATATTATATATAGAGTAAAGTACAGAGTGTCATAACATTGAAATACTCAAAGTACAGGTAACTCTAAAGTGAACTTAAAGGACTTGCTCTACGCATCTGTAAAGACAAACGTATTTATGATGACACACAGGGGCCGCCATCTTTTAAAATGTTCCCGCCACATGTTTGCTTTGTGTTTTTTACCCGAAAACACTATAATTAGAAGATAAAAGATAGAACAATGAGTTCCATGAGATCTGGATAATACAGAAAGCTCGGCACAGCATCACGTGGGGCAATAGGTACTTTGGAAACCGTGTTACAGCGGTAACTTCTAAACTATACTAACTCTCATTATTTAACATATAAAGTGAGCGCCTTTATCCAACATGTGTTAACTGGTGTCTCTTTGCTGGAGCAGCGCATCTCCTCTCTGTAACTACTCTGATACAACATGTTATCCTTCAATAAGAACTGTTCTCACCGTGAACACCGAGCAGCGGCTGCAGCAGATGCTCCTGAACGCCTCCGGAGGATTTAAAAACACATTTAATGGAGATATCTTTGGAAAAAAACATCAGATTCTCAACGCAGTCTGAGAGAGGAGCAGCCAGGCAGCAGCCATGAGACTTTATGTGACCCGACAACCAATCACAGCGTGTTCTCCTTCTTCTTCCGGTTCTTCTGTTTCCTTATTGGTGGAGATCAGATGGATGACCGCCCCCTGCAGGACGGGAGGACGGTTTAAACCCTCAGCGGGAGAAAGTTCTTCAAATAAAGTGAAAACATTGAAATTAGTTTATTTCTGCCTAACAACAAAGGTCAGATGAATTCATGTTATTGGAGATCCATCATGGCCTCGATCTATAGTTTCATTTAAATCAAGAGAGGAAGTGAACTTCTTCGTATAACACACATATGCTTAAATATAATTGACAGGGTTAGTCAGCACCGGGTAACTCTCGGCCTGCGCCCTCATATCAAAATGCAGATTTCCCCCGTAAAATGTTAAAGTGATGCCAGAAAACAATATTTCTGTTCGTCCAAAACTGTATATTTACTCCAGAAATATGAGTATATGAGCGTTAGACGGCAGCTTCGTTCTTACGGGCGTCATGTTCTCGCGAGAATGTATGATCAGCGGCGTCATATTATATCTTTCTAGAAAAACATGTTCTTGAAGAATTAAAATGAATAAGAACAAATATTAAATCCACATCTGTTTGTCGAATGAGTTACTAGTTATATGTCTGCTTTAGTTAACTGTAACATTAATTAATATTCAACAGTGTCGCGTGTAAACCATGAGAAAATCACCTTATGATGCCTTCACGGGCTGCAGCTGGAGTAGGATTTATTGTTTTCTTAGTCGGTTTTTGAATTTTCTACAAATTTCTTTCATGTAGATCATTTATTTTCTTGACTGCGCTTTATTTTGTTTGAACACAATAATAAAAGATAACATCTGTGTTTTAAAAACAATATATAGGGGTCTTGGATGATGAATAACGTTTATTGTATTCGACTGTAGAGATTAAAAGCATTTTGAAGTCAAACAAGAACACGTACAACCCAAATTAGATATGATAACGACACTAGATTAGAAGACTATATTAATGTAATGTAAAAAATGAAAACTGTAAAAGAAACATGTATGGAATAACTGATATAACCAGATGAAGTTGGTAGTTTACGACGCGGATAAAAGACGTTGAAGGCACCATGACCGTTAGGATTTAAATAAACCAACGGATTTTATGAATTTTTAACGGATTTAATTACGTTTTTAACAGTTTTCTCCGGTTTTATGAACAGTTTTCCAGAGAAGAGGGGTGAAATAACTGCAGCTGGAAGAGGAAATACTGTTCTCTGATCATTTAATATACATTTCTCTCAGGTAGATCATTTTATGTCTTAAAAGTCTTTATATTTATGGACAAACTAATGATGAATGAAAACATCTGTGTAGTTAAAGCAGCATAAATGTGTATTTGATGATGAATAATGTTTATTTTATGGATATAGTTGAATATATAATATACAGTGTAGTTGAATATAGGCCTATATATTTTTCTGTATTAAAAGCATTTTAGACACTTTTTATATTTAACCTGGGAACAGAACACATGATAATGACTACAAGAGATGCTGCAATTACTGCAGTTATTATAAGGTTCTAACGGTTGTTATTATAAGGTTCTAACGGTTATTATAAAGTTCTAACGTTATTATAAAGTTCTAACGGTTATTATAAAGTTCAATCGTTATTATAAAGTTCTAACGGTTATTATAAAGTTCTAACGTTATATAAAGTTCTAACGGTTCTCAGGGTTTCTGGCGGTTTTTCACGGTTTCTAACAGTTTCTAATGGTTTCTAACGGTTTCTAACAGTTTCTCACAGTTTCTAACAGTTTCTAACGGTTTCTAACGGTTTCTCACGGTTTCTCACAATTTCTCACAGTTTCTAACGGTTTCTAACAGTTTCTAATGGTTTCTCACGGTTTCTAACGGTTTCTCACGGTTTCCAACGGTTTCTCGCGGTTTCTAATGGTTTCTACCAGTTTCTCACGGTTTCTCACGGTTTCTCGCAGTTTCTAACAGTTTCTAACAGTTTCTCACGGTTTCTCATAGTTTCTAACGGTTTCTCACAGTTTCTAACAGTTTCTAACGGTTTCTCACAGTTTCTAACGGTTTCTCGCGGTTTCTAAAGGTTTCTAACAGTTTCTCACGGTTTCTCACAGTTTCTCACGGTTTCTTGCAGTTTCTAACGGTTTCTAACAGTTTCTCACGGTTTCTCACAGTTTCTAACGGTTTCTAACAGTTTCTCACGGTTTCTCACAGTTTCTCACGGTTCCTCCTCGGTCTATAGAGTGTCTCCAGAGGGAAGCAGTGAGCCTTCAGATGGAGGGCAGCAGGGACGAGCGTATAGAGGTCATCCTCCGCCTCACGCTGAGCAGCTTGGGGCTGCAGATGGAGGTCTGGAGGGACTTCCTGTCTGAGGAGGAGAACCAGGTGACCCTCAGCAGCTTCTTCAGCATCGCAGACTACAGCAATCTGTTCCTGTGCCGGGACCCGGGGCTCTGCATCAGCCTCACCTTCCCCTCTCAGACCTCCTCTAAAGTCCTGGTTCTCTCCAGGAGCAGCAGGGCAGTCATCAGCGCAGAGAACATCAGAGACATGTTGATCATGCAGGAGGTGCAGGGGGGGGGCGCCGTGAGCTGCATCAGCGCCGTCTGCCAGGAGGGTACCACTAACATGAGGCTAACATTATAGAGAGAAGCTAACACTAGGCTAACATTAAGGAGATAAGCTAACACTAGGCTAACATTAAGGAGATAAAGATTGGACTAACATTAAAGAGAGAAGCTAACATTAGGGCTAACATTAAACAAATAAACTAACATTAGGGCTAACATTAAGGAGATAAAGATAGGGCTAACATTAAGGAGAAAAACTAACATTGGGCTAACATTCAAGAGAGAAGCTAACATTAGGGCTAACATTAAAGAGAGAAGCTAACATTCAAGAGAGAAGCTAATTTGAGACTAAGGCCAACATTAAGACTAATGTTATCTTAGAATAATGCAAATATTGAGGCTAACATTAGGTTAAGGTTCATTCAAGTTAAGGCTGACTTTAAGATGTCAGTTCATTTCAGATCCTTCCTTCCTACTGCTGCTCTCCGATTGGTTCCTTCCTTCCTACTGCTGCTCTCCGATTGGTTCCTTCCTTCCTACTGCTGCTCTCCGATTGGTTGTGCTTTGAAAGGTCAGCGGTGATCACGATCAAAGTAAAACACTTTTTTGATCGCAGCAATCCCAGTTTGACCTTTGAGTGGTGCTAGGCTAGGCTAGGAGTTACTGATCATGTGAAGGTGGTAGTTTGTTTTAAAGGGGACCTATCATGCAAAATGCACTTTTGTACGTCTTTTATACATGAACATGTGTCCCCGGTGTTCCAGGGAACTCACCAAGTGTCAGAAAACACAACCCTCTCTATTTTCCTCCATACCCAAATCTCTAAAAAAGAGGCTGCAACGGATCTGATAAAAACTGATCCAGATTTGAACACTGTCCTGACGTCAGGACCGTGGCGCTACGGCTATTGGGCCAACTCCACCAATCAGGAGGAGACAGCCACGGCCATTGCCGTTCGAAAGTGCTGGAGACGCTGTAGGACATATGCCAGGCCAGTAGGTGGTGCTGTTCTCACAGAATCTGCCCAGAGCTAGAAATTGTCAAATTGAGCAAAATGAGGCATGGCTAAAATGCATGATCTGTTTGGTATTTTGAAAAAAAAAAGTATAAATATGCCTTATATAGGTATGGTCCTACACTATATTATTCAAATATAGCATGATCGGTCCACTTTAAGTTAGGAATGAGGTCTGAGTGTAACCAGGTGTGTCCTCCCTGAAGGTCACCTGTCCGCTGCTCAGTAACCCGGACCCGAGCGGCGGCTGGGCGGCCGGTGTAGCCGAGGAGGCACTGAGGTTCATGGAGCGCCAGAAGAACGAGGCGCTGGTGATGGAGGCTCAGATCCACGGGCGCACCTTCCTGCCTCAGCCCCATGCTCTCCATGACAACCGTCTCCATGGGGATGTGGACCACGATGGAGATCTCCATGACGACGTGGACGAGAGGTGAGACATCCATCTCTGACAGCGTTCATCACACCAACAGGAAGCTGTCAGAGAGAAGATCCTCCTTCTCTCCTCTAACAGGAAGCTGTCAAAGTGAAGCTCCTCCTTCTCTCCTCTAACAGGAAGCTGTCCGACCTGAAGCTTCTCCACGCCTGTGATTGGACGATCATTGAGTGGGCGGAGCTTGTGTCAGAGTTCCTGCAGCAGGACTCGTCTCAGGCGGTTCTGGACGGCCTGAAGCCGCTTCCCTGCGAGGAGTTTAACTTCTGGAGGAACCGCCTGAAGAACCTGCTCCACATCCAGCAGCAGGTCTGTCTCTATGTGTCCTACATACACTATGTCTCACACTGTGTCCTACAGACACCATGTCCTACAGACACCATGTCTCACACTGTGTCCTACAGACACCATGTCTCACACTCTACTGTGTCCTACTCTCACACTGTGTCCTACAGACACCATGTCTCACACTCTACTGTGTCCTACTCTCACACTGTGTCCTACAGACACCATGTCTCACACTGTGTCCTACAGACACCATGTCTCACACTGTGTCCTACAGACACCATGTCTCACACTGTGTCCTACAGACACCATGTCTCACACTGTGTCCTACAGACACCATGTCTCACACTCTACTGTGTCCTACTCTCACACTGTCCTACAGACACCATGTCTCACACTCTACTGTGTCCTACTCTCACACTGTGTCCTACAGACACCATGTCTCACACTCTACTGTGTCCTACTCTCACACTGTGTCCTACAGACACCATGTCTCACACTGTGTCCTACAGACACCATGTCTCACACTCTACTGTGTCCTACTCTCACACTGTGTCCTACAGACACCATGTCTCACACTCTACTGTGTCCTACTCTCACACTGTGTCCTACAGACACCATGTCTCACACTCTACTGTGTCCTATAGTGATGGGAATTATGGCTCTTTGAAGGGAGCCGGATCTTA